AAAGAGCAGATAGGTTGGCTACAGAGGCTATTAAAAAAGAAGATATTGATATGACAGTAAAGTTATCAAAATCTGAAGGCCAAATTATAGCTTGGAGAGCAAGTAAGAAGATTAGGAAAATTAGGTGGGATAATGAAATAAATGGAAGGCATTTGTATAGCATACAAAATAAAGTTGATATAGCATAGAGGAATAAACAGGTGGAAGGAGATAATCAAAAAATCATAAGTAGAATAAGAACAGATTTTTTTAAAATAGAACTCTTTTAAGATGGGGAAACATCGTACTGTTTTTTTTTTTTTGTTTTTTTTTTTTTTGGTGTGATAATGTAGAAACAATGGAACATGTTTTTATTAGTTGTAGAAAATATGTAAATAAACCAACATAAAAAAAACAGAATTAGATTTTAATGGGGAATTGAAATTTGGGAATGTGGTTAAAAAGCTAAATAGTATTGAGGGGAAGAAGAAGCAGTAGTGCAATAATAATGGATGCAAGCTGCCGTTAAAAACTAAAGAAGAAGAAGATGAACCCATCGATAAGGGCTGCATTTATATTTGGTTATGTTGGGTTCCAGCACATGAAGGTGTAAAAGGCAATAAAAAAGCAGATATATTAGCAAAAAGGGCTTTAGAGGAAACAATAACAATTATAAATCCTGTTGGGAAAGGGGATATTAAATCAATTATTAAGCGTAAAGAAATGGAAAAATTGCAGAAGAGGTGGAACAAAGATAAGAAAGGAAGAGAATTATATAAGGTACAAAAATCTGTATTAAATAGAATCACTAATGAGAGAAACTGAAGGGAAGAAGTAATAATGATCAGACTAAGAGTAGGTCATACCTATTTAAATGACAATTTATACTTAATAGGGAGGAAAAACAATGATAAATGTGAAGGATGTGGAGAAAAAGAAAATGTAGAACATGTACGGATGAACTGTAAAACGTATGAACATGAAAGGGAGAAATTGAGAAGGATGATTGGTAGGACAGGCAAAGAATGGAGTCTTAAAGGAATATTGGGAAATTAAGGAAATAAAAAGGATATTCATAGATTAAGGAAAGCATTATTTATTTATCTACAGAATACAAAATAAAAAAATAGAATTTGATTTTTTATTACTTTTATTACTTTAATCTGTTTTCCCAGTGTGCCCATTGTTGTACGTTTCACTGAAATCATTGTGACTTATAAATCCATGAATGTTGTTAATGAATATGGGTTTCTCTTAATGGGGCTAATGTCTATCTGAAGGAAATGTATCTTTATTTGTCGTTTTTGGGGGTTCTTTTGGTTATTGTTTCCATCAATAGCCCCTGGATGTCTAAAATGATCTATAAAAATCAGATATTGAGATGTGAATTGTGGGATGTGAAGATGTGAGGTATGTGATGATATAAAAATGTTATTGAAAATAAAAAGCTTAAAAAAATAGAATTTGATGTAAAATAATGTCGCTACACACTCATGTACAGTAGGTGGCGGTATGCACCTTAAAGTTGCTTGCGATCCGCGATAATAGAAAAGAAGAAGAAGCTGAACCAATCGGAATGCGCAAGGGGCGGAGCTTCCGGCTGACACCCTGCATGAATCGTGTTTTCCTGAAGCTAACATTCTTTACCATCAACCAAAGTTTGCTGCGTTTTTAATTTAAGAATATTGATTTTAAGGATTTCTTTAAGACCAGTGATGGGTTTACTGACAATTTTGAAGAAGATGAAACATAAGGAGCGGGAAATGAGGCTTTTAATGTTGTATCCTTTCCTATAACGGTTTAGCTTAGCTAAAAACAAGGCAACTTCCACACAGAAAACGGCTAAAGATCAATTATTTTAACAATTATCCCCTGTTAAATCCTACTTTCTACTGCCGCGTTTCTTTTAGATATTGCATGTTATTGTTTCTAGCATTTTGATGTTATTTTAGTTGACGACGTTTTGCCATGACGAGACAAAAAAAAAAAAAACCAACAAAAACAAAACAATACCGTTTGTTTGTAACACAACTTGCAAATAGAGTAACTTAAAAGAAAGATGGTGGAATACCACCTAGAATTATTAAAATTAGCATTTAAAGTACAGCTTTAATGTATGATCAGGGTCGTTTTGCATGTTAAAATATCTGGTTTCAACTCTATTTTCTCTTTGTCCAGGTTTTTGATTTTACAACGTTGCTTTTTAAGTGGTGAAATTAGCTGATATTAAAAATGCAAAGCTTTATTTTCAAAGCTAGCTGGTTGAAATGTGCTTTCTGGTTATAACAAACATGGCAAGACATATTGTACTCGTTATCACAGTAGATTTTAGGATATTTTGTGTTATGATTTATTTGTATACAGAATGAGGAACATCTATTTCTTAGGGATGTTTGTATATATAAAGTGTTATTTATCAGAAGCTGCGTAGGTTCTTTAACTTTGCTCCCTGCAGAGGCCTGGATAATGCAGGGAAGACCACCATCCTGAAGAAGTTCAACGGAGAAGATGTGAGCACCATCTCCCCCACATTAGGCTTCAATATCAAAACCCTGGAGCACAAAGGGTAAAAATCACACTAACCTATTTTATTTAAATCACATTTAAGATATCAGAATTTAATCTGATTTGAAAAACCTCTACTTGCCTTCTCTCACTTCTGGTCATAAAATCTGCACCATGACCAAAGGAAAAAGATTCTGTGGATCATTACTGATTTTAGATCAAGTAAATGAAGGAATTACAGGATTGCCAGTTTGCATTGTTTTCTCAAATCAATGCCCCTTTCATTTTATTATATCCTATACAAGAATAATTTTCCTTATGGTCTGTTTACAGGATTAAATCCTGTCTCTGTTGAGCTTTTATCCTAATTGCATTTTTACTTGTACTCTGTGGGTTTCCCCAGGTTCAAGCTGAATATTTGGGATGTTGGGGGGCAGAAGTCTCTGCGGTCCTACTGGAGGAATTACTTTGAAAGCACCGACGGGCTGGTTTGGGTGGTGGACAGCGCAGACAGACTCCGACTGCAGGACTGTGGACAGGAACTGAGCTCGCTGCTACAGGAGGAGGTTTAACACTTGGTTCTTTTTTACCCGTTTTACTGGTGGTTCTGCTTTAAACCAGTACTAAAAAAAATGAAAGGGGAGGGTTTAGAGTAAGAAATGCATTTAAAATAAGGTGAAATAAAGTTTGTCTGTTGACCTTCAAATGTAGCCCGTTTAAATGACTTGTCTCTTTCTGCTTGTTGCAGAGATTATCTGGTGCTACTCTGCTGGTGTTTGCTAACAAACAGGATCTACCAGGGTCGTTGTCCAAAGAAGCAATAAAAGATGTAAGTCAAACTTCATCTTTAACATAAGCCTGATGAACTAGAATGTTTCCAAGGTTCATGGGTGTGTATCTTGCAGGCATTGGCTCTGGACAACATCAAAACTCACCACTGGTGCATCATTGGCTGCAGCGCAATAACAGGAGAGAACTTGTTGGCAGGAGTGGACTGGTTATTAGATGATATTGCAGCCAGAATCTTTACAGCTGACTGATATGTAATATAGGTCTGACATACTAGAACTGTACTTTTGTCCTGTTGTAAATGTTTGACAATAAATTTGTCACCATGATCCATGGTTTAATTTCTCTTGAAAATAGTGCTCCACCATTAAGTATAAAGAAATTCAAATTCATCTCAAAATTTAAACATTTACCGCTAGATGAACTGGAAATGGCAGCAGATATGGGCAAGCAACTGACCACAATGGGCTAATAGGGTTCTAAAACACTAAATGTAGTTATGACAAGCTCAAGATGCCTTTTAAAGAACCTCAACTTTTGACATATGCATTTAAAGCCATCCTCTTACATACCAAGGTTTCCATGTGATCGTACAAGAAATCCCTTAAAAATTGCTTATATTTTGCCACTTTACTGCACGACTGGCTTCCATCTAGCCCAGAGGCACTCTGCTGACATACAGGAGCACCTTTTAACAATGAGAACAGCTCTACGCGTATTCCTGCACTGCTAACTTTCATCCCGTTGTAAATGAGAAACACTAATTGAATGGGCTAAAGCTGGTTGATCAGACTTGCTATAGTCAGCACAGTGAGGGAAGGCTAAGCTAATTAATCAGGTCTACAAGGACAGCTAAACTTCAGAGGATCAATTTGTAAAACTGACTCGTTTACCCCACATGCATAATGCACCAAGTGCTGGTTAAAGGATTAACAAAAAAGTTCCCTGCCCAAACAGCTTAAATTTTCAACCTCCCCCTTGAGAACTCTATTTTAAGGGCAAATTTTTAACAAATTCACGATTTAAGACAGTGATATACTTTTAAGTATAGACTGAGTACACAAAAGAAATGAAATCCCTCAACTATGGAGCTGGTTCTTGGAAAGAAAAAACAAAAACCATATAAAAGTCCTTAAATTTATGGCCCGCCTTCATGGCCCTGAATATTCAGTTTTCACTACATTTCTGAGAGGAGACAATTATCAGCACAAATACTTTATTGGTCATTTAAAGAACAGTACAAAATACAGGGGTTTCAATACAAGACTGAATATTTAGAACTCTGGCAGCAAATTCTAGTGACGAGTCCCCCGGTTAAGCTGAAGGAGAAAAAAAAAAAAATCTTAGGCAATATCAGACAAATATTTTAAGCATCAAGCAGCTGGTAAACATATCAGAATAAACCAATCAGTCACTGTTCTTCAGACTGGGGCGGTAATTGGAATTCATCAGTATGTTAAAGTGGGATTTCATCATCCAAAGAAGATTAGAGACTCACCTTTAAGGATCATGGAGACTTCTTCTGGCTGTCAAGAAACAGAGTGCAGCCTTTATAAAAAATGTAAACAGACTATATGCACACAGCTGATTGAATCAATCAAGTGTCTGAGATGGATCAGAGAGACACTTTCAGTCAGACTCCCAGCCAGAACTCAACTCCATCAGAACTCAGCAGGTCACCTTACACCTGGTTGGCTGCAGGGTTATCAGTGCCATTACTGAGGCAACAGGAGTGAGGAACAGCTAGGACTGGGAAACAACCCCAAGACTGGATATGGACTTCATCACTTTCACAATCCCAGGCACTTGAGGAAGGTTTTCCCCCCACCCCAACACAAGTACCTGTAGTCCGTCCCAATACGAGTTACGGAGAGGCGGTCTCACGGTCGTTCAGAAGATAACCTGCAACATGGAAAGCATCAGCAACTGGGCGACAACCACAGAGCGATCTAGTGAAACCCATGTGATCAGAGGGGGATACCATTCAGTCATTGGTTCTCAGACTGGGGCGGTATCAACAAGAAACTCATCATTTCTACCAGATATATTCAAGTAAAGATTCTCATTTACCTGCGGAATCCAGAGAAGATCCCCAAGACCTGCAGAAAGTAGAACAGTTCAGTGATGCCGCTCTACTGGAGCTACTAGCAACGGTTAAGTTAGATGGGATCAGAGGCTAATACCAATCAGTCATTACTTTATCAGACTGGGGCGGTATCATTGGAAATCATCATATCTACAGATTGAACATTAAACATTCATCTCACCAAGCACCCACCTAAGAGCCGGGTCGGACGTGCGTTGATCCAACCAGTACACCACTGCTTCCTGAAAAAGAAAAATTCCAACAATCAAACTTCTGCTTTACATTGATTCACCTGAAGCTCATTTAAACCAATTGTTTCCCCTAGAATCAGACCGTTGGTAGCCCCAACAAAATCATCCCCTTGTTGCCATGCCAACACCAGTGGGTTCACCTTTTGCAGGTCTGGCGTTTGCGCATGGCGTAAGACGTGTGCGGGTGTCATCATGTAGGAAAGTGGACGAGTTAAAGCTGTAGTTTCTGCCCAGTTCTCACCTGTCTAAGGATTCCATGGAGCTGGGAACAACGTCATGTCTGGAACCTGACCTGTAATGGGGAAAAACAGGTGTAAGACTTCTTCACATAGTTAAACTGTACAGATTCTTAACTATACCGATGTCAGATATTTGATTTCTCAACAGCAGTTCAGACGAACGAGATTCCAAATTATCTCATCATTTTCAGCGGATTCAATAGTTCAACAGCTCAGAGGAACATTTACCTTCAAAGAGGAAGCCTCAGAGGAGTCATTCAAGTAGGATAGCCATCTGTTGGCAAAAATAAAAAATAAAATCACATTGAGATATAGTTGGCCGATGCATGAGATCAGAAACTTATGAGGCCATGAAAAGATCAGTAAATGCAGTTTCTCAGGAATTCGTATAATTTTCACATTGGTTCAAAGTGAGCTGAGTAGTTCTCATCATAGAAACTGCATTTAAGAGATTTTTGCCAATCATAAAAATAGCACCCTCTACTGGTCATAATTAGTTCTGCATTTTGATTTTTCTAAAATTTGTATTCACAACTTAAGCCATTCTAAAACAGTGTAAACAAAGTCCTTACCAAGAGGTCCAGAAACTGGTCTCTGAAAAAGCACTGCAAGAGAAAAGGGGAAAAAAAATTGCATACCACAGCAAAAAACCATCAGCAGATCATTTTATTCTTTGGGATGTTCGATCAGGGCTTTGGTGACAAGCTGCCATACGACATTAGTCGTCCAGGAATTTGATGGGTGCTAACCCATGTCATCCTTTCAAACACCAACTTGCAATTTGCATGAAAACCTAATTATGAGCCAACAGGTAAGGGGGGGGTTAATGACAAAACAGACACTTACCCAACTGCACTTTCTAAAAGCTGGTTTTCATCTGCAAAGAAACCCTGAAGGTTAGAGTAGCTGAGAGACCTTTTTCCACAGAAAACTAATGAGGGTAATCAGATGTAGGTGTGACATCACTATGTTTCAGGCATATGCTTGTCATTAAAAGATAATCATCATATTTACACCAAAAAGCAAACAGCCTTTAAGGCAAACAATTACTCACCTGCAAATGTATCCGTTTCCATCCTTGATTGTCTCATTTGGGGTGGGAGGGCTGCAAGAAAACAACCTGGTTAAATTGTGCATTCAAAAACTAAAACATGCACGGTCTTTCAAAGGCTAGTCAGATAAATCATGGATCATCACAAGGATCAGGCATATGCTTGTCTGTTAGAAAACTCATCAGATTAGGCCTTCAGAGCAATTCACATTTAATCTTAAGAGCTGATTTACCTGCAGGGATTAAGGCTTTTATCCTCACAAGAAGCCTGGATCACATCTGTTGGACAGAGCCAAATGTTAATATTCAAACCTTAAATGACGATTACAAATAAATAAACCTATGACGCTGCTCAGAATCTGGTAAAGGGGTTTCTTCAAAGGCTGATTCAGCAAGAGAGAGTTCATGGACTCATCACTGCAGCGCAAACGCTCCATTCACAGATCAATACAAGTATATAAAGGTAGTGTAATCCTACTCAGCATTACAGGGTGTGAACAGGCAATTTGGCAGAACTTTCAGGATTAATCAGAATCTGGTATTGCTTACTAAGTGCATTAATAAATTGATATTCATTGCAAATCCATTTCTGCAGAAACAAAGCAGAGAATTCAGGATCAATTTACCTTCTGCAAGATCCCAGACACTCCACACCTAAAAACAGTAGGAAAATCATTAGTATTAAAGAGGCTTTAATTAGCCAGCATCTTAAGACTGAATGCCACTCAGAAAAATGAGTGAAATCTCTTCATTGGATTATTCAGTGAGAGAGTTCAATTATTACATCATTGCAGCAATGAGTAAAATATATTAAAAACAGGCTGCATTAGCAATATGCAACAGTTATAAGATGTGGAACTTACATTTATCTGCAAAAGGTGCCTCATTTCTTCTTTGCTGAAGGACAAGAAGACACATGTTAGCTTAGAGGCTAACCTAGCAGGCGACACGTGACTAACCCATATGAACCATGCAGGGCTATATGGTTCAATAAATGGGAACTAATTTAATTAAAATAACGTCTCACATCAGAATAATAAAGTGCAATCACAGTCATTCAGGACAGGTCTGTGAAAGTTTTCATCACTGAGAGACGATGCTAAGATTAGGAGCCGGGCCGAGCAAGCAGCGACTACATGGTCATCAGGGGCAAATTTTATTTTTGAGATACAATTTAACACAAATAATTGGGTAAATAGTTTAACTATATGTTATTGGCCTTGTTAAGGTCAATTTGTAAGTTATATTTAAATGTTTTAAAGGTGGATGGTCGAAGATTACAATCGGGTCCTTGCTGCTGCTTGTTGCTAAAGGAAAAGGTTCTGTATTAAATTTACAATGAACCAATCAATCAGCTGCAAATTGCAGACTAATTTTGAAAACGTGTGCATGATAGGAATTAAAAGAAATATATTTTAGCAGAGATGTTATCCAGGAGGAGAAACGAACTTACCTCGGGTGGAGATCTGAAGGAAGTGGAAGAAGAAACCGGTGCGTCTGCTATTTATTTCCCGCTATTTGGCTCCTCCTACCGCTGAACTTTTACCGGGAAATCGACTGTACGACTATGATTGTGCAGTTTTTATATTAAAGTGTAAAATAACGTAGGCCAGAAACTGTAATCTATATTTAAAAAAAACAAACAATCATTTAAATAAATAACATAAAACACTTCTAAATGAGCGGGAGAACGCTTGCTGAAAACGTCACTTCCGTTAGACGCATGTCTCTGTTGGCACCACTAGGTGGCAGCAGAGACATGTAAAAACTTCCACACTTCCACACTAAAAAGCTATACTTACAAAGAATTGTGAACTGATTGTTATCATTGCTACTATTCTACGGAATATTTATGACTATATATCACTTTGAAAAATACAAACACTTCCATACGATAAAAAAATAAACATAATCTCTCAATTTCTCAAAAAATAAGCGTGCAAGATAATTTTACCTATTCTACATACAGTCCAGCGAATTAAAACCAAGACTCACACATGTCAATGGGTAATTGGGATAGCTAAACATGCACATACAAAACAAAAAACAGAGCTATTGACAGTTTTTCTTTGTTTGTTTTTTGCATTTACATGGTTTTGCATGTTCTACATCTATGTTTGTTTTTGGTTATTCCAGATTTGTTTCCTCCATTCTGATAATCTAGTTAGATACTCTGATTACCATTACTTCTTGATTGGCATAGACTTGCATTAGCCCATCCTTGCAGCTCTGCATGAATCAGGTATGCATAGAACAATTTATGTCAAATTAACGAGCAAATCAACGGGCAAAACATCCAGATTTTCCAAATAAAGACAAACTATACTCTCCTGCAGCCTATACTACTACTATACTTTCCTATAGACGCATATATTTAAACATCCGTTCTTCCTTGATAAAAGGAATAGTGGATACAACTCTTTCAGGTTTGATTTGTGGGGCGAAATTTTTTTTCTATTGTCATTACTACTACCTACTTTTATCAATAATCATTCTGCATAAAATTGATATTTACAAGTACTTATACATACATAAATTGATTATTTAATAAGCTTTTATTAAAATAGTTAATAAACACAAAATGTAGTTCTGAAAAGAGCATGAATTCTGTACTTATCCTTAATGTTAGTATATTGATCTGCATAATTAACCACAAAAACATTCAAATGTTTTGAATATTCCACTTGAGAGTATTACTGCTGCCACCGTTTGTATTAGAGGTAATAAAATGGTAGGGGTGGAAATGGCCCCCATCTAGCTCAGCTCCTGCTGCTCCACAAGGGGACGGGTTAAATACATAGGTGAACTTCTCCAGTGTGAGATCAATAGAGTTCAATTATTATTATTATTGTTATCATTATTATGAGCTATACTTTCCAAGACGCTATTTAAATGCATAAAAATAAGCGATTACCGTCGTCAGCTTAATCCATTTTTTAAGTGACAAGTCTGTATTCGGCACAGTAAAGGGTTAGGACAATGAGCTAAACAGGGTAACCTCTCAGTTTTTAAAATGTATTAAAGCCACAGGTTGTACTTTTTACTTAGTTATAGACTACAAACATAGCATTAAACTGTTGTTATATAGCATACACAGTGTTTTTATTTTCATAAGACCGCTGCAAAGCACTGCTAATCACCTTTCCAAAACAAAATCAGTGGATTTTGTGATAAAATATTTCCTGCTTAGTCTGAAGAGATTAAACCAAAGCTGCAGGATACCTTTTACTGGTTTGGTCATGTTTGCATGGCATTGTTGCTGTAGGCAGATTAATATCAAAATCAGAATATAATATGATGTTCTGGATTTATTCAATTTTATGTCACAATTTTTAGACAACTGCAAGAAGTTCTTCTGAAAAAATATAAATAATAATTATTTTTTTCTGCATTTATCCTAAACTAGAATATTTAGAAATACCACACTTTAAGTTT